GCCTGCTTCACCAGGAACGAACGCTAAAAGAGACTGAGGTTCTCACTGCACAGATGTCCTGCCTTGGTACACTTGGTACACAAGTTAACGCTTGTAAACAAAGTAAAAGAGCTAGTAGCGCAAGTTATTTCCAGCCAAAAACAAAACTGCTCGAAAAGAGGAGTGCCTGGTGACAGATGTGCACATCCTGTTGACTGATAAAAGTCAAAGAAGCGTATCTATGCTCATCTCGTTTCTTCAACCACGTTCTTTGCACTTTACATCCATAACTGCTGTGATCAAAAGGGTTATTAGGGTGTACATAACACCTTTGTATCTTCAAGTAAGATACAGAGTCAGGTTGAGATACTGAATAAGTACCATTATTTGATCTGATTTTTGTTGATTGCAGCTTGTTGTAAACAGCTGTCATCAATCAATTATAATTAAATGAAATAACTAAGGAATACAAAATGACAGTGCATGCTGTCATAGAAAAATAATGAAAGACAAGGTGGTTTTATGCGACCCGACTGTTACCACCCGGTTATTTTCCTATAAGCCAAAGCAATTCACCAACATTTGCAAACAATTTTTATTTATTAATTGTACTACATGTACAATTTATCAATTTATTGTTACATTTAACGATGTGGAACACCTGTAAAACAAGTTTGCTCCTGTTCTCACTTATAACAGCTATAAACAGTTATACCACCGCTTAATTTCTCTTGCAGTTAAAATAAATGCTTCTTGTCTTGTTACTAAGAAACTGCAAAGCACGAAGATCTCCATCATGTTCTGACAACGTTTCTCATGTAAGAAAACCTGGCTACAGCTTCACCTCTGACTGTTGCAAAGTGCTGACACTGGAGACTCCATCAATAAATTTCTCCTTATTGAAATCTTCCCAATTTTAAAAATGACACTGTTTTACTCTGCTTGTGGGGTCCCTGGGTAAAGTGTTTCTAATACGTTATCATTTCTGTAGTAAGAGCACATTAATAGAAACCTTGCAGCCCGGACTACTGTCCGAGGCATGCTGTTCCAGAAAATGAATCAGTGCCTTCTGACTGATCAGAATGGAGAATTCCATAGCACTGTGGTATAAAGCAAAATTGAAAATCATGGAAAAGATCACCCTAAAACTTCCACATTGGTCCCAATACAGTTAACTCGCTTCTTGAAACGCTATGTATTTAGCGATTCATTCACTTTTGAGTAGTTAATTTTACTGAATCATTCATCAAAAAAAATAAAAACCTCCCACTTCACTGCAGTTGTCGAACAAGTCACAACAGAATCCAAGACGGCCTCCAGAAAGAGCTTTGGCAGATGAAATATTTGACTGATGAATGTTAACTAGAAGGATGTGTGCAATCTCGACAATGTGCAACCAAACAAAAGCCTGACCCAAAAACCTTTAATGCTAACAATTGGATCATTACCAAATGCAGCACTCGGTAAACACAGAGTCAAGGAGAGAGAGAAAGAGTGACGGCCAGACAGCCAACAAGGTGTTTTGCCTGCCAAAATACAGGAAAAGCTTCTGGCAATTGCTCTGCCAAGTTGCAGTAGTGTTGTTGACTGTAACCACTGATGTAGGCCGCCAAAGAGCATGTGCTTTCTTGCCCTTGACCATTTGTTTGGATGGGATCTGAGAAGACCTACAGACGATGACAGGGAACACTAGTGTGGGTAATCTTTGCTCTTGAAAGACTGAACCGTGGCACCATTACCACATGCATAACGGATCTGTTTAAAAATACTTACATAAAAAGGGAAAGGCTTTACCGTCATGAAGCTTTTTTTGTCAAGCAGATCAGTCTTTTGTCTGATAAAGGGGTGACAAAACACACCACATTCTTCAGCCACGCATGTCTGCAAGTCGCTATGCAGAGGGCTAAAACCCTCACAGTGAACACTAAGCCTGTGGAGAGCGTGGCTCGGCTGCTCCAGACAAAACAACACCTTCACGTGCTGAAAACTGGCAGCAGAGATGATTGTGCTCGAAGAACATCTCACTGTCGGTGTGAATGAAGACTGAAAAGTGACTTGTGACTTTACTTGTGGCATGCAAATGAATGTGAGTATGCATATACACGTGCGTGTGGGTGTGTGCGCGTGTGTGTTCGCTTCAAGTGAGGTGGAAAGGGGAAAAAAAAGGGGTCATTTGACTCTAAAACTTAACGAAGCAATAAAAAAAAATCGTAAGCAGCACCTGCGCTGGAGATCACTTCCAGGTGTGGCCCTGAAGTTCTGCCATGTGTCTGAATGTGTGCTGCTGTCTGTCCGATTCACGACAGAGGCAGTCCTGTAACTTTCCACTGTCCGTCCATTCTGAGTGTCAAATCACCTCACACCCATCTCATCGCCGTGGGTGCTTCAAGAAGCCGCTGTTACAGACAGTTAGATGTCCTGAAGGATACAGGAATACACTATGTGCAAGAATGCCTTTTTTTTGGTTGTTGCTTTTTGAAGATATTCAGAAAAAGCAGATAAAAATAGAGGATTTATAATCAGAATTATAAATCTACAAAACAATTTCAGAGACAAATGTACAATATACAATTAAGTGCAAAAGTTTGCAAGACAGAAAGAAGAAAATATAGATAAAAATAAATAAATAATAATTTAAATAATAATTTAAATAATTTATTATAATAATAATAATAATAATAATAATAATAATAATAATAATAACAACAATTATTATTATTATTATTATTATTATTATTATTATTATTATTATTGGTGGTATTATTTTTGTTTTGTTTTGTTTTTGTTGCTGTTCTTGTTATTTCAAAATAGAAATGTGGCTGTATTCAAAGGCAGTATATGACATCTGGAAGAATTATAACAAATAGGAAACAGGGAAAGATTTGCCAAGTAATCTGGCAAAGCTTGAAAAAATAAGTTTGTATAAACTGTACTGTAGAACAAACAAAGAAGGGTCATTTAAGTTACTAGAGAATATTTGTATCAATTCAATTTAATTCGTTTGAAATGGGTTTTTTTATGTTAACATACACTATGCAGGAACATCTGTGAACACAAGAAATGTCTTGTCGCT